CAACAGGCGTTACCTTTTCCGAAAAAAGGAATGATAACTACAGATGGCTGGCTCGAGTGATCGAGGTCGTGACCTTATCGGAGTCCAAAAACTGATAAGGAAGCACCAAGCGTTGACCGCTGAAATTGATGATCATGAATATCGAATTGATGACGTAGCCAGAATTGCGGAAAGTATGATTGAACAGGTATCTCCCATACTTTACCTACCATCTGTTCACATAATTTTTTATTCAGGTCGTCTTTCTAACTCCTGAAATCCGTGACAAACTCGCTCAGCTTCGCGACGGTTGGCAAAATCTTAAAACCAAAGTTGAGAAACGCCGTCTGGAGCTTGGTGACTTTCTCCATGCCCATGAGTACCTTGCTGTTGCAAATGAAGCTGAGTCGTGGATGACCGAGAAGGAACTAATCATCGGTTTCGCTGTTTATGGGAAAGACGAAGATTCAGCTGAAGCACTTCTTAAGAAGCATGAAACTCTCATGTTTGATCTTAATGCATTCAAGGGGACCATTGATAAACTGAGGAAACAAGCATCTCAGTGCAAGTATCAGGAAGATTTTGTTGAAAAGCTTGGTGAGATCTGCTATAGTGTGTGTCCCGGCCACCAGCTTCCCACAAGTATCTCCGTGGCGCATACGCAACGCGCGCTCCGTTGACGCTTCTCATCTTACTTATGAGCAAAAGAGCATATTGTGTGAAGATAGAAGTGAGATAAGAAGTAGAAACCGCCAGCCCCAGCTCGGAAAAGCTTAAGCAAAAAAGAACGTTTAGAACTTCCACTGACAGTGAGTTTCTGGTCAGTCTCAAGGATACTAGTATGAGACCGGCAAGAAGCTACCTGTGATAGGTGAAAGTCAAAGAAAAAACATGAGAGGATCTTTTAAACGATCTCCTTCTGTAATCATAGGAAACCTGAGAACTGTAAACCCGAGAGCGTAACTGTACAAGCATAAGCTTCAGTGCCTCATTGAAAAAGAACTAGAAGCATGGGTACTTTTCCGTTATCCGGACCCATTCTTTCAAAAGGATGTAAAAAACGCGTTGTTCAATTTAAGAACAGTCTTTCAATAGATTCTACGAGGACTGCTCCTGTAACATGTCAGGAAAAAATTGACACGTTTTGGTTCGTCTTGACATGTTTTCTAAATTGATTTCCGGTAAGGTAAAAGAGTATTTGTGATTCCTAAAAGCTGCTTAACTGTTTTCTATAAGAGCAAAACAATTTGGAACTTATAATAGAACTTATGTTAAAACATCTTATGGCTTTTAGCAACAATTTAAAAAGGTCTTTCTCTTCAAAGTCTGTCCGCGATGCGAATTTGGGCGGAAAAGACTACAAATGATGGGTTAAAGGCAGTGTCCGCGCAAAAAATCTTTCCTGGGATTTTGTGCTTACCCGGGCCTATTCGCTATGCTGA